CAAGTGAGTCGTTAAGACTCTGGCGCGCGCGCGCCTGTGTGCGAGTGTGTGTACCTTAAAGCGGTGCCTCGCGGGGCATAAAGCCAGCCGTGTGCCCCCACCTCCCCCTTCTCTCTCACCTCCCTTTCCCCAATCTCTCTCCCTCTTTCTGTTTATCTTCCTCAGTCTCTCCCCTGCTTTCGCATTCTCTCTCCACTTCTACCCAACTACGAGAATATTGCCGAATTTATGAGTTAAAGTTTGCGAAATGAAAACCGAGGAGTGACTCCTTTTTGCTTTCTTCCACGGGCGTGTTGCGCCGTGGCGTGGCTCGGTGTTGTGGGCGCACACGCCCCACTACGAAATATTGGTTGTTACTTGATTGCGAGTTGTAACTTTTCTTTGCATAAGGTTTGTTCCTTTCTTTTTGGAAGAGTTGACGTGTTGTTGAAACTATTGCTTTTTTTTTGCCACCAGCCAATGCTACTCTTGATTTTGCCTAGGTGTGTGTGATAACCGAGCACATCTGGCGAATAACATAAGATTTGCTTCAGAGACCCTTTTAAATTTACAAAACGGGTATGATAGGACGCCACAAAACACTAACAGTGTGCTGAGGCTCTGATTGGCAGGAGGAACCTAGGCGCAAGGTGGAGGGGGCACGGGGCTCGTCCTTACAGCACCAAACTTTTATATCGGATTGCAGGCAGGAAGGCTGCTTCATTCAAGAAAGTCTGCATACGGGAGGGAAAAGCAGGGCATGGGGGGGGGGGGCAGAGAAAGGAGGGGCGAGGAAGGGTATTAGGGGTGGGAGCCGCAACTCAACGGGATGATGGTAATAGTTGGCAAACAGCCTCCGATATATTTACACTGTTGCCCCACTCCCTCCCCGACCTCGCGGCGGCGTGACTAGTGGCGCCACTAGCGGCGTGCATAATTTACTTAGGCAATCGACAAGTGCAAACATACGCTGTGTAGTTGACGGAGGAGGGGGGCCCGCCAGCTCGAACCTCCATAAAGTTGAGCCCGACCATTACCTCTTTACGGGTTGTGGAGGTCGGCTGAGATACGCCCTGATGAATGGACTTGCGCCGGGCGAGGCCCCGGGCGGCGGCGACATGTTTGCGAGAGGATCCCGCTGCTGCTGCTGCTGCTGAACTTTGTGGTGCTCTGTCACTTCGGAATGGATGAGGCTGGACTTGGCTAACCAGCTGCTGCCTCTGACCCTTTGTGTTCCTTCCGTTTCCGGACCGCTCGACTACGTGCGACGTCCGCCCGCGACCGCCCGCGACGCGGACGCCAGCGGCATACAGCGCGGGGCTTGAGATAATAATAATAATGCAATGCGCGCGCACTGCTCTTTGTACTAATGTTTTTCTCTGTATTCTTTCCAGAGGGAGGCACTGAGAGTGGCTGTCCAAGGGCTGCTGTTGGCACAGCCCGAGTGGGGGCCTCTCCAAACAGCACTGTAAGTACATTGGCATAAAGCCTGCATGCTATCATACCTCGGCCCACAGCCGGGGGCCCGGGGGCGGCCGGGGACCACCGCAGGGCGCCGCAGTGCCCCTGCCAACAACACGATATTTGTGCAAGTATCAGTAGGTAGGGAGGCTGCTGCCACCGCCCCCTCCAGGCTTTTGTCTATCCCGATGATATCTGCCGGCAGCGCCGACCAGCCATGCCCAGACTGCTGTCTGTTGTGCGACGCGCAAAGGCAAACCAAAAGTTTGGAGACGCGGACGTTGAAAACACGATGAGCGCACAGCCGAAGCCTCCGCCTGTTTTCTCGATCGGCGGCGGGGGCGGTAGTCCACTCACCCCATCCTTCCTCTCTCGCGTCTGCTTTGCTCGCGAATGAGGGAGAAATCGTTTCGCGCCGCATCGGCCTCTCTTAAAAAAGTAATAATTCTGCGTTAAGCTTATCTTACTTTTTTCGTACTAGAAAAGCCTCGTCTGCCATTGATGTTGTGTAGTAGGCCCATGGAGCTAATCCCCGAGGCTCTAATGGGCCCCGATCTCCTTGGACACGCGCGGACAGGGGGGGGGGGGGGGGACATACACTGTTAAGTAGTAATGGCCTTTAAATGAGGTCATGGCTATTACTTTAACAATCATGTCATCCTCGATGTCATCATTAGCCGACAAAATAATCGGCGCGATGACGCATGCAAAAAAAAGGAAAGGTATTGCTGTGATATTTCCCATCCCTCTCTAAGACAAGATATATTGTGTTACAATACTTTTCAATGTAGTGCCAAGCACCAATTTTGTTATTTTTGTGCTAGCGCCGCTGGTTTGCGTAAAGCAAAAACGTTCAAATGTCAATACACATCTTTCTCTTCCTCTCCCTCTTTTGCTTCCTCTCTCCCTCTCCCTCTCCCTCTCACTCGTAACGCACATACGCACACGCACGGTGCTGACGCCCCGCAGTGTCTATGTGAACCGCGCTCGCCAACAGCATGCTTTTCGATTGTTTTATGTCTCATCGCATTGCCAGCACGCGTCGCCCTCGCGGTATCGGATGCCGTTTGGAGCGCCGCCTCTCGCCCGCCTCGGCGCCACCCGGAGCGACGCTGTCTGTGGAGGACCGCTCCACCGGGCCCGCCGCGCCGCCCTGTTCGGGACGTGTGTGGCGTGGCGCGGCGTCGGCACGCTGCTTTGAAATTCTCTGTTGCTCTTCTATCTAGGTGGCGGGCCCGGGACGCGCGCGCGCCTGAAATATTCAAATGCCCCGCGTGCACGTATCGCATAATTCATTGCGAAATTCTGTACTTTGAGGCGAGGGAGCAGCCACACCCCCGGCCCGTCCCGGCCGCCGCCGCCGCACAGGCCATCTTGCAGCTGCAGCCGCCGCTGTTGCGGAATGCGACGGCTCTCGGCGTCAAATCTCATGCCGCCGACTCTGCGTGTGTGAGGGGTAAAGGAGGAAGGTGCATACGCTATCATAGCGCGAATCATCACCCCCCTCGCCTTCAAGTGAGTCGTTAAGACTCTGGCGCGCGCGCGCCTGTGTGCGAGTGTGTGTACCTTAAAGCGGTGCCTCGCGGGGCATAAAGCCAGCCGTGTGCACCTCTCCTCCCCCTCCCTCTCCGTCGGATGTTTCGCGTTACGCCCGTGGCAGTAAACAGGAATAACGACACGGACAGGTTTTATGCCCGTTTCCTGCACTCTATGTTTCCCCTCAAGGCGACGTGTCGCTGCAATGGACCCCGTGTGTGCGGCCGGTCCTAGCGTCTCGCGGCGACGCGACTGCAGCGGAGGACGACGTCTGCACTCGGAAAATGTTTTTTTTGGCAAATGGAAATTCCGTTGGAAAATCATGTCATGATGTGTATCACCAGAAAGGATTTCTTTGATTCTCTGATTCGTAAACATTGGCTTAAAATCAAATATCCGTTTTCTGATTTCAAAATTTTCAATGGAATATCCTTGAATTAATACTGATACAAGGTAACACAAAAATAACGTAGATATTACGAAAAGAAGCAAGGTGTTTTCAGTGTGCGTCAAATTGTCTTCGGTTCGGTTCGGTTGTTGTTGTTTTTTCCAATAAAATATGTCGTGCACATAGGCAGTGGAAATGAAGTTGACGATCTGTATTTTTGTGCAAAGTGTAAACTGTAGGTATGCCAGCGGTGCAGAAAATGGTGAAACATTTGTTTCATCGCGCGGTGTAGCCCGGCCCGATCCCGCAAACCAGCTGCGTCACTCCCACAGTCGGACGCCGCTCCTTATCGAGGTGTAATGGGACGCCTGCAAATTGATTGCGTGCGGCGACTCCTTGCTAGGCTGGCTGCAGGACCCCGCCTGCAGGACCCCGCCTGCAACCCCGCCTGCAACCCCGCCTGCAGGACCCGGCAGGACCCCGCCTGCTGGTGTTTCGACTGCTCGGCTCGGCCGCCCGGCTACGCCTCGCCACCCCGGGACAAACGGTACCGCGCTGCGCATGAGGCAGCTGCCGTCAGAGCAGGACTGCTCTCGCCGTGTGGGGCAGAGAGGCTGCGGT